GAACCTTGCGCCCTCGGCTCCAGCCTGGTGGCTAGTGCGTAACTCAGGCTCTGGCAAGCGGGGTTACAACCCGGAACCAAAATAAATATACAAGCAGTGCATAAAAGATAAAATCAAGAATTAGTCACTTTTATACAAAAAGAAAATGAATCAAGGATAATGGCTAGAGTCACCGACCTGCACAGCGGCACCCTGTGCGCTCGAACAAAGGAAACTTACATTTAAACGAAGCGATTGACAGTCAAACCGTTTGCTGTCGCCGCGCCGTCGCTAACCTCGTAGCAGATCGTTTACAACTATGCTTCTATACACGCAGTTTATTATTAAGTTTTTTTTTTAATAGGATAATGGTGACAAACGTTTACCTGATGGTAAGTGATAGCTGTGGCCTATAGACATTAACATCTATTCTCGATTAAGAATCAAATTGCAGATGCGTTGTCACCCCTGAAGACTAACTAAGGTGGAATGCCTCGTTCACAGAATACGAAACAGTAGCATTGAGCTGTTATTTTACACTGGTATTCTGCGAGAGCGAGGTCCTGCCGCGGTCGAGTGGACCCTCTCGTGCTACGACTAAAAATATAGTTGCAGCAAGTCTCTTCCGCGTAGTTTTATTTTATTTATCATTTATTAAGCATATTTCAATGTCAGAGATAGCAATTTAAGTATAAAACATGGCCGCCAGGAAGTGAGCGCGGGTGGATGAAGTTAATTAGTTTCCGGGACGTCGTCACCGATACCTTCCGACTCGTGATCCCATTTTGTTAACTTCGTTAGCAAGCTGGGAAAGTACTATTTGATTCTACTTCATAAAATTTCAATACCTAGTTTCCAAGTTAGGGTTAACTTATGAATACTAAATCTTTATCCCCTTCTAAAAATAGTAATTTAGAGAATAACCGGCAAGTCACTCAAATACTAATAGTGTATGCGATACAGTCTCTTATAAGGGAAGTCATGTGATTATTTTTCACACATTGTTTCTCTTAATAGTGTAGTAGGAATACTTTAATTCTAGTAATGTAAAGAAAAAAATGTTTGTTTTTTTGACATAATTTTTTTATGTCTAACTATATGTCTATTTTATGTCTAACTGTATTAACTTATGCCATATCTTAAAGTGGGGTACATCGTAAGTTATAAAACACACTAAACATAACTTATTTATATGTCACGGGTCTGATTGCGAGAAAAACTATATTTCTATTCTTTTATGATTTAACTTTATCAATTTGTATAGATTTGCACCATACGTCAAGGAATAAAACTAATTTTACGGTCATAACGCGTTTAATTTTTAATTAAATATGCATAAAATCGGTTAGTTTTGTTCCACGGTTATATTATATTTCTATTCCTTACAACTAAAATCACTTTATTTGTGACAAAGAACAATGTTCGTGATAAAAAACGATGCAAATAACTTAATGTTTACTATGTCTCAGGTGCACGCGATGACCTTTGTGGCAGTAAGTTATGTTATATCAGCTTACAAGGCGAACTTCTTTCGTAACAAACAGTTTTCTGGTCCGTGTAAATTTGCAAGTTCCTTAATAAGAAGGTCTCGTTAAATTTTTTCTCACGTTCCGTAGTGCAAGGAATGTAGAGTTGAATAGGGAATCTAATTTCGGGATATGGTGAGCCAGTATAAATACTGACCGTTCCATTTGAGAGATGTTAACGCACCTGTTACTTTCTTTGTTTGAAGTCCATGTTCTGAATGAATGTTTTCTCTTTCTCTTTTCAGTAAAATGTTACTCTCGCAGTAGGATTGTGTCTTATATCATGTAGGCAGTTTACATACGTACTTGGTAGAACCACACTGCAGCTATATTATAGTTGGAGAACGGATGGCTCGGCTCGATCGGAGAAGGACCACGCTCTCACAGAATACCAGCGTAAAATAGCAGCGCAATGCTGCTGTATTTTATATGGTGAGTGTAGAGAACCGGAGACCTTTTTTACTATAATCAAGGCATTATATCTTTTTTTTCATAAGATAGGGTGACAAACGAGCACACGGTCCACCTGATGGTAAGTGGTTGCTGCGGCCTCTGGTTCTCTACACCCACCCACCATACGTAACATAGCAGCATTATTAAGCTCCTATTTCACGCTGGTATTCTGTGAGAGCGTGGTCCTTCCCCGGTCGAGCCGACTCATTCGTGCTACAATTATACTACTAATATAACTGCAGCATAACTCTACCACCTAGTAAAAAAGTCCATCTCAGTCCTCAGGGGTGACAAAGTATTTGCATTTTGATTCTTGAGGATAAATGTGGATGTGTATGGGGCTACAGCATCCACTGACTTTCAGGTGGATTGTGTGCTCCTTTATCACCCTCGTTTGTTGTTTGTGTGCGCACGCGCTCGTGTACGCGCGAGTGTGATTATGTGCGTGTGTGCGTGCGTGTGAGATGCGGCATATGAAAGAGCCTCGCTGAACTTAGATTTTCTGTGAATTTATACTAAAAAAACCGATTTTTTTTTTGAATTTTAGAAAAGTATTTTTCTTGGTATTGTTACCCTTGTTTTGACCAATTCTATAATCTAATCAGCACTTCTAATCAGAAAGCGATGTCGATTGCCGTGAACCGCATCACAATCAGTTGATTCGTTCGAGAGATATTGTTGTCGAAAGTAATCTTGAAAAAGTGTTTTTTCAAAATAACTTGAAACCTTTCCGTGAAATCAATTTTTCTGTAATAAGCTTTTTTTGGTAAGCTAAAAAAATTGCGTCGATTACCGTAAATCACGGCAAAATCGGTTGATTTGTTCGTGAAATATTCAGTTTAAAAAAAATTTAAGACATGTGGCTTTTCCAAAATTATGACGTTTTTGAACTCATATGAGTCATAATAAGTGAAATTTGGAGCGGTTTGATATGATATTGAAATTAGCAGGAAGTTCCAGGGATGGCCTGGAGGGTCAACCAATTTTTTCTTGTTCTTTTTTAAAATGTAGGTTAACGATGTTTTTATTCAGTACCGAGCTCTTGCACTTGGAAACACGATTACTGATTGCATTGATGCTGGCGACGACTGAAGATTGCTTGCGCACTATATACCTATAATGTAAGGCGCTCTGTGGCGCATTTTTAATTTTTATCGAGGATAGATGTCGCATTTTGATTATTAATTTGATTTCCAACGAATAGTATATTCTGATACACGCCGAATACCGAATATTCTGCAGACTTTTTGGCCGAATAGCCAAATATTAGGCAAAATAATTCGGCCGAGAAGAAAGTAGTGTTTACTTTTCAAAGCGTCTATTCTCTGAAGCTGGGATTGTCTACGAGAAGAGAAGGAGTAAACTACTGCCTCAATCAAAAAATCAAGAAAAATTAGTACCCTGCACCACTATCTTCCATTTCAATTACGGTAATTCGAGTGCATAGACATTTATCTGATAGTTTTTTTTTTTAATTTTTATATGGAACTTGATTACATATCTATGACTACTTTAAAGATTAGAAGGAAACAATAATTATTATAGAATAAATATTTTCATCTTACCAATTATTATCTGATTACAATAAAACCTCGTAATAATTCGGGTTTAGACTGCAAAGGATAAAAGTAGCCGAATAGGCCGAATACCAAATAATAGCAGAGTATTCCTTGCAAGTCTATTATTAATCAAAGATATAAATTGGTGTCTATCGGCCACAGCACCACCGCCCACTCCTGAGATATCGCGCTCTTCATTAGTAAATGTAGGTATGGTGTTGTTGATAGTGATTCATACATTCTTTTATAGGATAGAGTGACACACGAGCACACAGTCCACCTGATGGTAAGTGGTTGCTGTGGCCCATAGACATCTACATCTATTCTCTATTACCATTCTATTACGAATCAAAATGCAGATACGTTGTCACCTAAGATGGAATGCCTCGTTTCCGGTAATATTACATTGAATTAATATTCGAAATATTAATTTTAGAAAGAGCGTTGCATACTGTATACTTATTATGTTGATCGTGATCGTGAACACTCCATAAAGCCTAATAACTATGAAATTGGGACGTGAAAAACGAAAACATTGAAAGCATGAATAAGTAAAGCAAGACGCGATGAAATCCATAAAGTAAAATGCGTTGATATATAAGAGTGCTGACAACTCGAAAACTTTTTAAAATTAAAGAATAAGAGTTACAAAAGAGGACAGTTCACCTCGTGGTAAGTGGCTGCTGTGACCCACAGACATCTATATCTATCCTCGATTATGAGTCAAAATGCAGATGATGATGTCACCCCCGAGGACTAATATGCAATGCCTATTTTCCAGTACCATACGAAACACAACAGCATTAAGCTGCTATTTTACGCTGGTATTCTCTGAGAGCGTGGTCCTTCCCTGGTCGAGCCGACCCATTCGTGTCACAACCATAATATAGTAGTAACATGGATCTACCACGTACGCTAAGTGCTTGACGTCTTTCCCTATACGCGAACAACCCGGGTTTGCACTGTACACAGTACACTACAATACGCTCTGGAATATGGCGGATCAATTGCTCCATATCCCTCTAACAACGATTCTAGACGACTGTCTCGTTGTTCTAGTGATTGTAAATGCGAGTGCTGATCACGAGGTCCCGGCTTCGAATCCCGGGTCAAATCAAATCATTTGATTTGATTTGACCTAAAACCTTCGTGACGAAAAATCTGTTATTGAGTTCTTCTGTCAAGAAATTCTCAGTAGCTGCCTGAAGTCAGGAAGTAAAGCCAGGAACGCACGTAAAGCCATTGGTCTTGCGTCAGATCTCTACGGCCGTATGTCCGGCCGGACGTATGAGAGTGAGGGAATAGACAGTGCACCTGGTTTCGCGCACACTCGGGCACTATAATCCCGTCCTGCGCAGATGGCTAGTCTCCGTTAAGACTGGCCGTGACTGAAGTTCGGTCCGCATGTCATTATTATTATTATTATGAACCCTTTAAAGGTTGTAACTTGACAGTTTGATTGAATGCGGTGTTGTGGTTGCAGAGTTCCTGAACAAGACGACGGTCTACAACCGCGAGGCGCTGGCGCGTGCGGTGCATCGACCACATGGCGTGCCACTGCTCACCGTCTCCAACCACCACTCCTGCTTCGATGACCCTGGCCTCTGGGGTCAGTACTACCCTCGATCTTTTATTAAGGAGGCAGTTCACAAACATAAATTGCACAGGGACAAACATCCAAACCCAGTCAATTGTTTGTAGGCCATACCAAAAATTAGTTTTGTGCGGGAATCAGCTAGTGGGCAAATACATCAACACTTACATCCTATGTACCTACTGAAATATTAATATTCTAAACTTAATGCTTAAAAAACAATATAAACTTATCATCATCATTACAGCCCTTCACAAGTCCACTGCTGAACGTGGGCCTCCCCCAAGGAATGCCTCAAAACGCGGTCCTGAGCCACCTGCATCTATCGATTTCCTGCATGTCTAACCAGGTCGTCACTCCATCTAGTGGGGGTACGCCTTGCACTTCTCCTGCCGATACGAGGCTGCCACTCGAGAACCTTTCTCCCCATCGGTTATCGGTTCTTCGATCTATATGGCCGGCCCATTGCCACTTCAACTTACTAATCCGTTAGGTTATATCGGTCACTCTGGTTCTACTGCGGATATCCTCATTTCTAAGTTTATCACGCAGATAAACTCCGAACATAGCCCTCTCCATAGCCTGCTGAGCAACCTTGAGGTTTTCTCATAAGGCCAGCAGTGATGGACTACGTCTCAGATCCATAGGCCATCACTAGCAACACGCTCTAGGTTGTACAATCTAGTTTTGAGGTATGCCTGACGAGATGTGACGTAATTTCCCGAACGCTGCCCAGCCGAGTTGAATCCGTCGATTGACCTCTCGATCGAAGTTGGACTAACCTAGTCCTTGTCCAATGAATTTGGTTATGTCCGTGTTCATGTTAAGTCCTATCCATTGGGAGACACTATTGAGGTCATTGAGCGACTAGGTCATAGTGATTAGGTTATCCAGCAATTCTACCATAAAGACTATATCGTTGGCAAATGGAAGGTGAGTGATGTACTCGCCATTGACGTTAATACCCTATCCTTTCAAGTCAAGTAGCTTGAATAGGTCATCCAATGCAGCGGTGAAGGGTTTCGGGGATATAACGTCACCCTGTCTTACACCTCTCTGCAGTTGGATAGGTTTCGTACTCTAGTTCTGTACTCTGATAGGATTCGTAGGCCTACTGTACAAACACTCCAGCACTTCGATATAACGACAGTCAACTTGGCACCGATGGGACTGCAGCACCGCCTAAATTTCGACGGAATCAAAGGCTTCCTCATAGTCAACATAAGCAAGACAAAGTGGCAGATTGTACTCTTTGGACTTCTATTCAATTTGCCGATGGGTATGTATGTGATATATAGTGCTAAAGCTTTTTTGGAAACCGGCTTGTTCGGGAGGCTGGAAGTCGGCGCGTCTGCGTGCGAGACGATTCATAATAACTCACGAAAACAGCATGGAGACGCGGCTCAGAAGGAAAATCAGTCTTTAGTTCTTCAAGAGAGCGTTGTCGCCTTTCTTGAAGAACAAGAGCACCGCACTTCTGCTCCACGCCTCCGAAATAGTGCTACCATGGAGGACGGAATTGAATACCTACTAAAAGACTTTAATATCGGTTTTCCACTCTCTTTCAGAAGCTCAGTTGTAGGTCCATTCACGCCCGGGGACTTGCTGTTTTTAAGTTGCTGGAGAGCCATTCAATCTCGCTCAGACTAATGTCCGGGATATCATTGGAATAGTGTCGGATAGGACTTGTTCTTGGATTGTTACTCACACTTGCGTGTGGCTTCAACGATGACGTGTGTACAGATGCCCATAGAACCTCTCAATCTCACTCAGAATCTCAGGTGTCCCGGATCTCTGGCAGACTTCTCAAAGACGACTCAATCGCTTCTTCAGTACGAGCTGTATTGAAGTTGCGTAAGTCCCGCCACATGCATTTGCAGATCTGTTCAGTTGCCTGTATGCTCTCAAATTTGCCGAAAACATTCATCTCCTGTCTAACAGCCATGAGATTAAGAGTGTGATCGGCGTAGATAGAGCCCTTTCAGACGAGAAGCCTACTTAATAGTTAAAGGCCATTAGGGCTTACCTGTTCGTTTGATCCCTCTTCTGTAAAAATTGAAATATGTACAGACCACCGTTAAGTCAACGACGACGTGAATATTTTTGCTGTTTGTTTACCGGAAGTAAAATCTACGAGGAGGTTCGCCACTAGTCACGTTCTGTCTTCCGGACTGGCGAAAAGTGGATTGCAGAAGCATTAAAAAGTCCGTAGTCTCTGCCTATCCCTTAGGGTGACAAACGTGAGTGTTTATGATGAAATGCTTTTGCTTTTTTGAAATATGATGAATTACTTTTTCAAATCCTTTAAATGTAAAGGAAACACATTTATTCTTATGTAGTGATGGCGACGTAATATAATCTATCTATTCCAACTGTTAGAGCCTATAAAAGTCCACCGCTGAACATAAACCCCGCCCATACATTGACTCATAGCACTTCGCCATAGCTGCCATGTTTGGCAGGCGGCTTCCGCAGAAAGATGCTACTACCCATCTCAGACATTTCCCCTTAATTTCCTTCTGTCACCTAGTACGACATCTAAGGGGCCATATGGGGTGGTGGATATTCTGACACTGCCAGTATAGTATGAGAATCTATCACCTCTTTTCGGCCCGTGAGTGTTAGTGATGAGAGGCTATCGCAAAAGTCAGAAGGTTCTCCCAACCGATCTCTTATAGATTGCAAAAGTCAGATATACGATACTTAGACCAAAAGGGGCTGTAAAGAGTCATATGTGTCAGTAGTGACCCGCCCCGACTTCGCTAGATGCAAGATCATCAAAGATCATTTAGTTTTTCAGATTTTTGTTTTTTTTTCCAAAAAAAATTTCCAATTTCATATAAATAATAGCCTAGATCCCTCCTGGTATTACTTTCTATCTGTTTGTAAAGTTTTATCTCAGTCGATTCAGGTAATCCGAAGATTATTTCGAATGAAGCGAACGACAAAATTTTTTAAAATGTATGCCTTAATAACATCTAAATAACCCCCTGAGCAGTTACTTTAGTATTACAGAATGCACTTCAATTGTATTTAAGTGTATACCTACTTGGATAGAAAAGAAATAATTGCTGAAGCAGATAACACTGCCACGTCTTGTGCTAATCAGAGCAAGTGTCCTCGTGCTTTATATACGCGTGCATATTTTTGCTAACAGATATTATAAACTGACCGTGTTACTAATGACATCACATCGATGTGCGCTATGCGGTGGTTTGATACGATTTGCGCTATTGAAATAATTTCATAAAATAGTGTTACGAGCTTAGGGTTCGTGACAATAAAAATTGCCGATAGAATTACCAAAATTAACTCTTTAATTCACTTTACACTAATTAAAACTTAGAACATTAATAATTAACCACACTGATTCACTTTATTTCGCTCCGAAGCTTCGCTTGTCTCGCCAAATTCAATACTTCCCCGATCGCACCTTGCAGCGCCTATAAATACACATTATCACCGAAACATCCAGAACATTGAAGTAAATACGCGGACTAATCGACAAGGCGCCGAAAGTTCGAGTGTCGGCTTCTAGAAGCTTAGTTCTTCGTTTCGACACCAGATGGCCCTGTCGGTTGAAAGATTAGTGATGTCATTTTCTGGAAAGCTCTCCTCGCTTCGTTACCCGACACAGATGGCGCTAGTGCCGGGTACATGACGTCAACTTAGGCGCGCAACAATAGCAACTCTACACTGGTGAATAACACGCGTGCGAAAACTGTGTGAATCGCTATACTCGACTTTTTTTCATAGGTTAATGTGTATACGTCCGCGTCAATTCGTCCAGCAGGGGCAAGGTCGGGTTATTTTTTAAAATTTATTGAACTAATTGATATTTAAATTCTTGCGTACCGAATCTATTGTAGCCGATTAGTTTCACACCGATAAGTTATCAATATTAGTTGTACGCCGAGTTATCTATAAACGATAATATATAACGTGGGACCCGCTGCCCAGGGGTCATGTGAATAATGTGGCATCTATTTCTTTCAAGGACACACATTTTCTCGTTCGCTTCACCGATTTACGAGTTTCTTTATTTATAAAAACTCAATCTCACCAATCCCGAACACAGGTGCAAAGTATCCAGCCTTTCAGTTCTATACAGGATGCATGTAGTAGAGCGTGTGCAGGAATTGCATAATTTAATTCTTCCCTCTCTCCATCTTTGTACAACCAGGCGCTCGTCCAGTCACCACACTTTAGTTGTAGACTTACCACGCATTCGAACCAAACGGATTGCTATATCGTTCGTCATGCGTACAGCAAAACATTGCAATAAGGTCTAGTATATCAACGTGGTAGAGAATTTGTCGGCTCGACTGCATAAAATAGCACCTTAATACTGTTGCGTTTCGTACGGTGAGTGTAGAGAACCGGAGACCCTTTTTACTGAAAACGATTCATTCAATGTTAGTCCTCAGGGGTGGAAATACATCTGCATTTTGATTCTTAATCGCAGATAGATGTAGATCTCTATAGCGGATTGTGTGCTCGTTTGTCACCTTATTCTACAAAAAAAAAAACTATCTTTCCATCCGATTACAACGCAAGTGTCTTCAAGGCGACAATGAATAGGTTTTTGTTAAGTTAGTGCACTTCACCATCTTAGGCTAAATCACCACTTACTTAGGATAGTAGTTAAGTGTAGAGATGGGCCTAATATTCGTTTCATATTCGGTATATTTGGAAGCTTTACCTAATATTCTTATTCGGCCGAATATTCGACTAAATAACCTAATATTCGTTAAAGTGGTATTCAAAGTGTCCACTGTACTGAGATGTACGAATTGAGTAATACCATGTCTTTCATAATTTTACTGTTGAAAGTATATTTTAATTATGGGTTAAATTAAATCTACTTGTATAGCGTTATGTTTTTAAGGCACTGTAGATTTATTTCCAATTATAGCAAATAGAAAGTTTGATCAAATGTATTTGGAATCAAACAAAGAAACGTTACATTACATTAGTACATTTCACTTTACTTTGGTCGTCAGTTTCTCATTTTTATAATTATCAATTTTCGCAAAGAATAACACAACGGAATACTTTTTTTTCACAAAAATATTCAAAACATAAGCATATGACAACAATTTGCTCAGTACTAGGGGTATGTTCCAAAATAGAACCCAGTGTACTGGCCAATGCAAATGACGTCATAAATCGACGCGATACTGGTGATTCGTTTCAAAACATTGGACAGTATTGACATCATACATTTGCGTCCTATTGGAAAAGTGTTGGCAATTATTTTGTCATTTTGTGCTCCAAAAGTCATTATATCCTTCTAATGGAGATACCAGTAATTATTCTATAATTTTTTATATTTGAATAAATAAAAACCAAATGCATGGCATGCTTCATTCAGCGTATACACAATTAAAAATTGTTTTAATGTGGCCGGATATCCGACACAATATGGCGGCGCACGCCAGCACAATATAGCGTCAAATAATGACGTCATTTGTAATCGGCAGAATACTGGAAACCTTTCGGAACATACCCTGGATGATGAACGAAGGGCAGGGTCCGGCGCTAATACCGCGCGTTTTACGGTAACAAGTTTCGACATAAATTGGTTGGGTACCGAGGTGTTCTTGCCGAATAATGTTTGGCCGAATATTCTGTTTAGTAAAAGTTTTACCGTAATTGCGGTCGAATATTCGTATTCGGTGCAGTCCATGTTGGGCACATCTCTTGTTAAGCGCCGACTTAGAATAGTAAAAAAATACATAAAAACAAATTTTCAATTCTAACAATATTTCTTTAGTGCTACAAGTGGTAAAATTAAATATATTGTACAATCGACTTCAATATAAATGAAATGAGAACATCGTCAATGTAGTCCTAAGTCAATTAAATACGCATTACTAAGGATAACTTAAATTCTACTGGTCAGATCTTGATCATTTTATATAGGTGATCCGCATAAGAAGCTTACAGATAAAAAAGAATCAATGAAGTTGATAATAACGCCAGGCAATGAAGTGATCGCTTCCAAGCTGTTTCTTAAATACGTTTTGTGAGTACATAGTACATTGTACATATTCTATTTTAGTATGTTACAGGTATTATCTATGGTCTATCAAATTTTGATATTGTAGATTTTGAATTTAAGCTCGAGATTGACTCTCAATCTCAATGTTAATTGTTTTCCGTATGCAAATTAGTTTTATGCTACCGGCCTCCATAAATTTAAATTCCACTTCAAAAAATGGGAGCCAAGCTTACAAAGTTGATCGTTTGCATAATTATTTACTTATCTGAATCTCTAGCCTTGTAGAATTTGCCAATGTTACGTTGTGTCCTTTTCTAGAAATGTGAATTTTATAATAACTAATTTTTTTCATACAATATATGTACTTAATTAGAATAAGATCTTTTTGTTTTATTTACAAATGATTTTATAACGTTACCTCTACATTATGATATTCGCCTTCATCGTGGGGCTGTTCACATACATAAATTTCACAAAGACAAACATCCAACCCCGGAACAATTATTTGTAGGCCACACGAATACTTGTTGCGTGCGGGGTTCGAGCCCACTGCTCACAGCGCGGCAACTCACTGCCGACCCACTGCGCCAAGGAGCCGTCGACTGACTAACGTTACCCCGGGAATTCCTCATTTATCTTGGAGGCGTTGTACACACATTAACTGCGCGTTGTCAAATGCATAGGCCGGAAACTATTATCTGTAGTTCATACTTATTATAGTTGTTTCGCGCGGGACTCGAACCCACTCAATACAGCGCCACAGTTGAAGCCATAGACTAACTGTCAAAATTACTGTCAGAAAATCAAGGCATCAACAGGATGTAAGATCTTGCACCGCTTTGAGATAGTAAGTTCTTTTTTTGAAGGTTCTTAAGACGTTCCGAGAAATTGCTGTGGTAGTCGTTTACGCAACGAAGTCGTGCGAGTAAAAAAAAACCTAGTAAATCGCGCACTGGTGCCGCCAAGCATCCAGATGGTGTGCTCGTTTGTCACCTTGCTTCTGTTAAAAAAAACGAATCGGCTCGCTTTGTTAGGTCCCTGTTGGCTAAAAACTCAAACCCTACTCAATTTTAAGATGTTAAATCTCGTGGTGCCACAGTCACTTTAGGCTGCACGACCTGACTTAACGGCACCTTAAAATTGAGTAGCGTTTGAGTATTTTGGCACATTATGTCTTCTGTTTTATGAGTTGATGTTTAACAAGCCAACTTGAACGTAGAAAGATTATGCAAGGCTGTAACTGTTTTACAAATGTATGTCGAAAGTCTGAAAATAATATTTGTGTAGCTACCATTAGGTACATACTAAATTCTAATAAACAGATAAACTAGTTGTAATGCCTGGAACTACATTTGGTCCAGACGTCCAGACGTCAGGATGACTGACCACTTTCTTTGTATTCTCACTCCTTGTGAGCTGATAGGATATTTTTATTAATTTATACAATAAGGATAACAAACGAGCACACATTCCACCTGACGGTAAGTGGATGCTGTGGACTATAGACACTTCGTCAATCATCGATTGAGAATCAAAAGGCAGATGCCTTGCCACCCCTGAGGACTAAGATGGAATCCATAAACTTGAGTGTTTTATTAAAAATATAAATGTTGTGTGTAGTGTTTTTTATAGGATAGGGTGACAAACGAGCACACAGTCCACCTGATGGTAAGTGGTTGCTGTGGCCCATAGACTTCTACATCTATCCTCGACCACGAACCAAAATGCAGATGCGTTGTCACTCGTGAGGGCTAAGATGAAATGCCTCGTTTCCAGTAAAAAGGGTCTCCGTCTACATTTACCATACGACACACCGCAGCATTAAGCTACTATTTTACGCTGGTATTCTGTGAAAGCGTGGTCCTGCTTCTGCCCCTGCCCCATTCGTGCTACAACTATACTACTAATATAACTGCAACATGGCTCTACCACGTAATAAACCTATAATACGTAATAGTGTAATAATGTTTAACAAAAACAATAAATATAAAATCCATGATAAGCACGACAATGCAATTATTTGTGGAAACAACGGGGCGAGACGACGGACGCATGTAATATATTGCTACTGGTCGAAATACGAACCGCTAATGCTAATGAGGTCAGTGGGCAGCAGGCCGCAGGTGCCACCAGGTGGACTGTGTGCTCGTTTGTCACACAAATAGTATAAAAAGAATTAACAGTAAATATTCGTAGCAGTGAAAGCTGAAATCAAAACACGATGTAATGGTCATAAGCCTACACGATACATCAGAACGTTTGCGTGACTCGCGTGTGAAAATGCGTTTGTAATGGGCTAGCGGTCGAGGACGGGTTCTAGTTGCCAAAGACGTTTATTACCAAAATTATAATTGTCTTGATTGTGGATTTTTTTGTAAAACCTATGTACCGTTAGATTGGTTCTGAAGGTAGGTGGGTTCTTACAACAGTCAATATTTAATTATTGAGTTGTAGAAAGGGGAGCACTGGCCTGACGTAGCGAGGCAAAGTCCAGGTGCTGTTGTTGCAGGCTCGTAGTCAGCCACCTAGCGGAAGGAGCCGATGATACCCGGGTCCGGTGGTGATGATGGCCGTTGGTACGATGGTAGGCCAACAGTCCGCTAGCTCTCTATGTGGTATGTGAATCCTGGAATCCCAGATGGAGACTAGCATTGGGGTAACTTTCAATAGCGCTATATGTTAGTCAAGTTCAGCACCCCATCTAGGAAGTAAAAAATCCTAAGAACTAAGCAGCACCAGCAGAAGAGATAAGAATTAAGCAGAGCAGTTACAACCTTTGCTATTGCTAAAACAGAAAGCACTCACCCCAGCACCCCGTTCGTTTAGGTTCCCGTGCGGTGCGGACTTCAAGCAGTCTCAGGTAGAATGAACAGAAGTGGTCTGAACGGGGGGGACTCGTGCTCGTCTCCGAATCCTATTGAGCAATTCTGATTTGAAGATCATTGACCAACGATTTACGGTAGCGCGGACTAAAATAACTATTTCAAGGTTCTCTAGAATAATATTGGAAATTAGTAAGATGTAAGATGTGTAGCTTTTATTTTAAAATTGGTATATATTTTATTTAAGATATATATATTATATATATATATATATATATATATATATATATATATATATATATATATATATATATTTATACTTAATTATATCTTCTGATGCACAGTTACACCTAACTTTTATATGATTTACATCTAATTTTATTGATTATGATAGAGAGATTGTATACAGTAAAAAGGGTCTTTGATTCTCTACACTCACCATACAAAATACAGTTCCATTTAGCTGCTATTTTACGCTGGTATTCTGTGAGAGCGTACTTGTACTGTACGTGGTACAGCCGTGCTGGAGCTTATATAGTTGTAGCACGTCGGCTCGACCCCGGGTAGAATCACGCTCTTAAATAATACCAGGGTAGAATGCCAGCTTACTGCTGCTGTGTTTCGTCTGGTAATTATAGAGAACTGTGGTTATAGAAAACCCCTTTTACTGGAAACGAGGCATTACATTTTAGTCCGCAAGGGTGACGACACATGTGCATTTTGATCCTTTATTGAGGATAGATGTTGGTGCCTGTACCACAGCGTCTGTGTGTTGTCACCCTTTAGCTATAAAACGTAGTAGTCGAGCTCGTGCGTGCGTGTGCAGGCGTGTTGGAGGCGCGCACGCTGGCGAGCGGCGCGCGCATGCGCTGGGCGCTGGCTGCGCACGACATCTGTTTCACGAACGCGCTGCACGCGTGCTTTTTCGCGCTCGGCAAGTGCGTGCCCGTCGTGCGCGGGGCCGGCGTCTACCAGGTAACTAACAACTATACATCCATCACATCCTATAAAATCCACCGCTTCTATTTTCTCACTCGGAGAGTAATTGAACGGTAATCTCACACCACCGGAAAGAGATCAGACACACGAGGGTAATTTTTTTCTTGACAATCTGAACCGGAACTGGGATTCGAAGCGAGACCACATGATCAGCAATTGCGCTTCCTGCTAATCACTACAAGACCAACACGGCAGTTATAACTTATAAAGCAATCTAATATTTAAAATAAAAGTCGTTATAGAGTCGCGGAGATCAAGACGATTGTGGACACTTCTGACGCAAGATGAAATACCTTAGTCCGCTACTGCAGCTGGCATACTATGATAACAACGCTTCTTCGAAATCAGAGGGAAGCTTCCGACTCAATTATTGTCCTGCAAGTTGAAGTCGGAAGTTTTTTTTTAATAACCCATTAATCTCAAGCTGATACATGATAGGATGGCTTTGTCCGGGCGCTAGTGCCGCCGCGATTGTGACGTCTGGAAATAACACTAACAATCATCGATCATTGATGTTGATGGTGTAGCACGTTGATGTTTATTTGAATGTCATAGTCGTAGCGTTTAACTAAGGAGTCATCTTTAGTTGTTCACCCAGCGCCACCACCCGCCGATAATTGGATGATAGACAGGAAAACTTTGGTAACGTAAACATTCTGAACATGAGACTGGGGAGGTGTCACGTCAAATTTAGAGCAAGTTACCTTCAAATCTGTTTAAAATTAATATTTTAATTAAAAAAAGTTGAACATCATCATTTTAAAAGCGACTTTAAATTGTGTTTACTGATGATAGTTTTTACAAAACACAGAAGCGTTCTTGGCCGCTCGAAGTCGATCCTGGGTTTGAATCTCGTATCGGGCCAAAAATCAGTAGTTGGATTTTTTGGCTAAGAAGTTTTCAGCAGCCTGAAGCCGGGAAGCTGTGTTACACCGCCGTGCCTCGGAAAGCACGTAAAGCCGTGGGTCCAGCACCTGCTCCTTCTCCGCTCGTGTCGGATTACCGTTCTATCGAACGATGACTGTGAGGGAGTAGGGAGTGCAGAGCTCGCGCACACACTCGTGCACGATAGGTAACCCTGTCCTGCGCAGATGGCTAGGCTCCGCTAAGACTGGCCGCCATGGCCGAAACTCGCTCTTGAGGATATTATAATTATAATGTTTTACATTTAAAATTCCACAAACGTTTTAGCTCATTTAAAGGAATTTCAATCAATCTCCCTAATAGAGCTGGAAGTGCTCCAAAGAATGAAAAGAAAAGTGTGGGAAGAATTACTTAGTCCATCGCTCATTTATATGATTATTATTAAAAAAATGTACCAAAGTGACGAAAATCAACCCTGTGTCATATGAACCTATGACTTGAGTTTCAGACCACAATTTTTATATCATTTATAAATGAGAATGTGCTTCGAGTACCACCTTACATATTGTATATTCCAGCCTGCAATGGATTTCTGCGTGGAACGACTTGCCCTGGGCGAGTGGGTGCACATCTTCCCTGAAGGTCGGGTCAATGTTGAGAAAGATCATATCAGGTGAGTCGTACGTAAGAAAAGCTTTGCAAAAGAGGTTTATTAAGAAATATGTATTAAAGTTGTAGATCAAATGGGTTGGCTCGACCGGGGAAGCACCACGCCCTCACAGAATACGAGCGTAAAACAGCAGCTTAATGCTGGTGTGTTTCATATGGTGAGTGTAGAGATCCGGAGAACCTTTTTTACTGGAAACATTCCATCTTAGTCCTCACGGGTGACAACGCATCTTTATTTTGATTCTTATTCGATGATAAATATCTATGGGTCACTTACTATCAGGTGGACTCGGTTTTAATCCATATTCTATAAAATTAAAATAAAAAATAAAAATGTAATACAAAAGATGTGACGGAGTAAAAGTTAAAGCTTATAAAAATGTGTTTATATTACGGCAGAAATGGACTTACCACGTTGAGTAAAATAAAATAAACGCGAAAGCAAAGAAATATAACTAAACTTTTAAAAAGTGAAATCCGACTTCAAGTAATTAAAAATTATTGAATCACGCACATCGGTTGACGTGGTAAAGGATTCGCCCATATGTAGTGCCTAAGAAGTAAGATGCCTTTGCAAATTGAAGAGTTTTGAGATTTGGTGATTTTCTTATGCATCCGCTGGGATGACCCGCATGCTCATGGTTGTAACGTGTTGTATATACACATGATTTTATCATTAAAATTATGACATCATTTAAGTTTAAAGTATGGCTACTCTGAAAAATAACCCTGTATAATTTCCGTTGAATAAGTTGACATTTAAGAACTACTACTATCACCTATATTTGGTAATTTTGAAAAGGTAGTATTACGTGCTGTATCTCATAGCTAAGTAAGTCTACAAGCAACTTATATTTACTGTAAAAACATAATACTTACCCTATTACCGGCAAATAAAGGAAATTGAATAATAATAATGGAATGACGCAGTCTATAGAGCAGAAGTATATTCAGCAGTGGACTTTTGAAGGTTGTAAGGAATGAACTAATAACATAAACATAAATAAACTAATTAACATTTGATATTTGACTCGGTTATTGTATACGGTTATATTAATCATATATTACATATTAAAGAACCTCCGGTTCTCTACACTCACCAATCACCACAAGAAACAGCAGCATTAAGCTATTTTACGCTGGTGTTCTGAGAGAGCGTGGTCTTCCTCGGTGGCTCTATCACGTATAAACATATTGAAATCAGTTCATCGTTGACTGATAGCATTCTAAGCATTTATTTAGGTTTGTTTTTAAGTGTACACCTTTTTAGGTGGTCTGGGTAATCGCGTTCAAAGACCGTTTATTATATCTCTTTACATTTTACAGTATGTTATATTTTTTATTGTTGGATTGATTAGGGATGGGCGAGGAAAAATAATATATCGATTTATTATATCGTATCGATATTTTTAAACAGTATCGATATACGTCGGAGAATATGGCCCACAAAACGACGGTAAAAACGACATCAGTACATGAATACTTTTTTGTTTGTTTTATTTTTTTTTTTGTTTTTTTTTTGTCGATTAATACAACATTTTAAAATGTATCGAAATTGATACGAATTTAATACTATAAAATAAATATCGAATATGGATATATAGCGACTAAATATATCAATCTTTCGATATATCGTTTTTTTACCCAAGCCCGTGGTCCGTGCAAGAATATATTAATAAATTAAATAAACATAAAACTTAAGTTTCTGATTTTTTATTTTTTTGGCAATGTGGTGATATTTGTTTTGTAAGTTGTGTTTACCTGTAATAGTATGAAACGTATTACGTAGCGCAGTTTAACAGTGGTAGAGCTACGCGGCAGCCTTTGCTGTTGCACGCATGGGCCGGCTCAAACCGGGGTGGTACCACGACCTCACAGAAGATCAGCGTAAAGTAGACGTAACGCAGAAGCAAAGCCGCTTCTGCGTTTCGTCTGGTGAGTGCAGGTGGCCGGTGGCCCCATCCCGCCCCCCATCAACATGGTAGCGGAATTAAATGCAAGACTACCCCAGGAGGGTACCAGCACCCCTGGAGAAGCCCTCGCTGAGCTTCCACTACTGAGCGTGGGTTCTCAGGCTGCCCCGCGTATTCTACATACATATAAATACATACATAAACACTCACGCCTGTCACCCAGAGGGGTAGGCAGAGACTACAGACTTCCATTTGGCACGATCCTGACACACTTCTCGCCTCCTTCACATCCATACACCTACGCATACATGCTCGTCGGTTAAGGGTACTCCTAATTTGGCCCGTTTTCAATAAATCGCCATTTTGGTCGATAAATTTTCGCCTAGGGCGTCCCTTTCCGACTCTGCTATTCACTTCTGCAACATAAATTTTCTTTGTCACTCTTTCCTCATTCATTCTTTCCACATGACCAAACCACCGACCGAAAACCACCACCGTATTCTAAAGGGGCAAAATTCTGCTCGAGACTAAACCTGCTCGGGCAAACGGAGCAATAAGTCAAAGGCCCCCGCTACGCTATCCGTGAATTTCAGCAAATTAAGAGTGTGATCGGAGAGTTTTTGTGTTCTTCTGCGGCGGGTCTTGCACTACTTAGCTCCGACCGCATGGACAGTTTCCACGAGCTTGTTATTCATATCGTCCACTGCATTGCAATCTTCTAGGCACTGAAAGCGTTTACGTAACTCGACCTGAGAGGTTTCGGGATTCTGGATTAAATCATGAGGGGTGTTGGCTTCATTAGACGCGACCTCTCCAACTTAACGTTTAGGTTCAGTGTGCCTCTAACCATTCGGTGATCGCTGCCAGTTTTCACCCTTGCGATCACTGAGACATCACTAAACAGTTGGCGTCTGGTCGTCATAATGAAGTCAATCTCGTTTTTTGTCGAACCGTCGGCGCTCGACCAGGTCCACTTTCTGTGGGGCCGCTTCTGGAAGAAAGAGTTCATCATAAAAAGTCCCTCTTTCTCCATGAAGTCGGCCAGCTGCTGGCCCCTTGGTTTCCGTTGCCCTATCCCAAATTTCCCTACCTTCAGCTCAACATTCTTTCTTGTGCCCAGTTTTGCGTTGAAGTCTCCCATTAACACCGTATAGTGAGTTTTGGAGGAATGCATGGCTCTAGAAATGTCCTCATACATTTCCTCCATCCTCATCGGGACGTTCTGACGTTGGCGCGTAAACCTGTATGACCTTCAGCGAATACCGTTTGGTGATACTGAGTAAGGTACGCAACCCTCGTCGAAACACTCCCAATTTTTAAAACGTTGCTAACGAGAGTCTTGTGGACGATAAATGCAACACCTCCTTGGGACAGATGGTCGCCCTCCTGGTGATAAAACAAGTTGCCGGATTCGAGAATCACGTGTCCTCCTCTCTCTTCGGACCTCGGTAATCTTATAATATTCCAGCGCAACTTGTCTATCTCTTCTTCCAGCTCCAGGATCTTCTCGTCAGTCCTCAGGGTGCGTGCGTTAAATGTTGCCAGGTCGAGTGGTCGTAGATGGCAACCGAACCTCCACCAGAAATTATTAGCACCCCCTGCCCCGCCGTTACCATGGTCGCCACCGTTGCCAGGAAAAGCGGGGCCGCCGGGGACTGGGGGCCGTCTATTTGTGCAATTCTTCATGGGGGGGTATATTGCCAAAGTTGCCACGCTTGGCGAGCGGGTTGGCAACCGCAGTTTTTTGTTGTACAGTTGCTGTTATCAGGAAGATGCTGCTGCCCATCTCCTGCCTGTGTCCCTCTGTCGTCTTGTACGACACCCACGGGAAGATGGACCCAGGGGTGGTGGATATTGTTAACCGCCACTACACCGCAATACTGTAAATCGTTAATTATCTTTTCGTGATTTTACTGGGCCACAATAAACTATGCTCTAGTATTCTTATTAAATTGCTAACTATTATTTCAGCTACGAAAACATAGTGCATATATTGGTATTTAATAAAAAAAAGTCTACTAATGACCGGATACAGTTGAAAACCATTTCCGGTTATTACATAATATCCTTTTATTGTAAATTACGGTAAATTTTATTGTCGCCGAAATGAATTCGAATATTTATTTATATTTAAATACAAACCTCGACAGTAAACTTGTGACCTCCGAATTAATTATTTTTCAAATGTATTTTTCCTGTAAATAATAATACCTAAATCTATACAAATGAATAAAATTGAACTGTCTGTTTGTAAGTCAAAATAACAGATATATACTAAATGCATATGAAAGTACCTATATATTAATTACAGCAAAAAACAATGTTTAAAAAATTTTGTCTATGTCTGCCGGGCTAGCATGAGCCGGAGAGAATATATCCCCGGAGAGAGGATATAATTTTTATCCCTTGCTTAGTTTTATCCACCCTGCGAGCATGAGCAAGAGACAAAAATTATATCCCCGATTATATCCACTGACAATAGATAAAATTACCTTATCTCTATAGTATATCCCCGTTTGACATAACGAGTGGACATATATCTCCCCCGTCCGTAGCATGGGGCCAAGGGAAAGAGAAAAAATTATCCCTTTTTGACATTTGAAAGGGACAATTTTATCCTCTTTCGCGGACGTGGGTTTAAGTTTATCTTCAAACCATTTTAATACAAAAAAAGATGTCTCGAGCCTATTACAACTACATTTTCGTGTCAGAAATTGAAAAACAAGAAAGAGAATTACATCAGCGATCGATACGTGATCAGAATACTTAATCTATTGGAATTCTCCGACAACGAATTTCTACGCCGGTTTCAGATGCTCAAAGATTGTTTTGTATTTGTGTAAAGAACTCTATGAGGCTTTAAAGCCTATTAATTCTGTGGATGGACTACCAATGCATATTGAAGTAAGCATCTATTACAACCACCTTGTTCAAAAAAGTCTCAATAGCTCAATGCCATGATTTAATTACATAGGTTGTGTCAACAATACCCAAGGCGAGTCCATGGTCAAGTCAAATTTAAAGATAATAGAATCGGTTTATACTATATTTTAGGTAAGTATTATAACGTTTTAAAATAAAGTTATCAAACTTAGTAAAGTTACAATTCAAAGGTTTAAATTAAGAAATATGTTAATTCTTTAGCAAAGTTTGCTAAATATACTATACTCATGATTATAAAATTATTTATTCCTTGTTTTGTTTGAAATCATTACATTTTTATTCTTCATGCTTCATCATTTTCAATTAAAATTAAATCTTTGTGACTTAGAATAGACATCAATTTTGATGTATTTTGTAATTTTCTTATAATGGCAGTAATTGCGGGGATATATTTTTTTTAATTTCTTCAAGAGGTTACACCACTTCCAAAGGGTCTGTATTGTCCAGTTTCACAATTGGCTTAATTCTAAACACATATTTTTTAATAAATGCTATCACAAGCGAAGTAATACCTGCGATTTGATACAAGCAATGTATATTTAACTTAAATACTATACAAAAGAAAATAAAGAAAGAATTAGAATAATAGAAAAAATAAAAACAAGGCAGAAATACGCTTAAAATAAATATAACAAATATTATAAATGACATATTGTGACATATTGTGAAACAAAAATTATGAACAGTTTAGCAATATAATAAACAAAAGGTAAAAGAAAATATAAGTTAATGTAAATCTACTTAATCTTAAAACTAGTTTATAGCTAGTATAGTTTATAGCTTTATAATATGGTATATTATCTATGCGCGGGGATAAGTTTATCTACTGTCGATATTATATCCACCATAGGCCCATGCTCGCAGGGTGGATAAAGCTTTGACATAGGGATAAGACAATTTTATTCCTTGTCAGTGGATATAATCGGTGGATAAAATTTTTATCCCCTGCTCATGGTAGCCCGGCTGTTCCGGCTAATGTCCGAACTGGCTGGCCGATGTTGACGGGAGTTTCACTGACAGGAAGTTGATGTCCTGAAATTAAATTAGGCTACTTTATTTTAGAAAAATAGTTATGGTTCGTGCAAAAATATTAAACTCCGTGAAATCCAATTGTAATGAATTCCAAGCCATTCAAGTCGTGGTAGCTCAGATGGCTCTTCAATTATTATTAAGTAAGGTCTGCCTGAGTCAAAAATTGACTTGTGTCGAGGAGTTTGAAGAGGCATTTCAAAATTAAGTTTGCATAGCAGTTCCCTAAACTGATTTAAAAAGTTTAAAGGGTGACTATGTCATTAAAATATTTCACGTCGTGGTACCGGCGAAGCGAATTGGCGTTAATGTTTTTGCTCTATTTTTGTCTTTAGGAGCTTCCTTCTGCCATATTTTTATTGAGTAATAATCAAGATTTTCTTGCAATATTTCATTGATGCAATATTAAGCTTGTGTCTTTGCTACACCTTTGAAATAATTGTGGCAGAGCGAGGCTGCAGCTGTACATATAATGGGTATCAGCACGAATGGGTCGGCTCGACTGGGGACCACGCTCTCACAGAATGTCTGCGTTAAATAACGGCGTAATGTTATTTCCTATTATGTCGATAGGCCATAGTATCCACATACCATCAGATGGACTGTATGCTCGTTTTTCACTCTTATTCTATAAAAAAGGAACGTTTGTTAGGTTCAAGTGGGGCGTGGGGCGGCTGGTGGCGGAGAGCTGGGCGCGGGGCAGCGCGCCGCTGGTGGTGCCCGTGTGGCATGAGGGGTTTGACCGCGTGCTGCCCAACGTGGAGCCCTACCGGCTGCGGCTGCGCAAGCGCCTCTACCTGTGCGTGGGCGAGCCCATCCCGCTGCTGCCGCTGCTGCACAGGTGCGTACTGCTGCTGGTGCTGCTGCCCGTGCGACATTGACATTGTAATCGGAGGAACATACATTGTGGGTGCTGGCTAATTAATCTCTTTGTTGTTCGTATGGCGAATAATTTCACAAACCACTTGGTTTCAATGTGTGTTTCGTGTTTGAAATGCTATCAGAAAAATACTGTTGCCAGTTTCTTTGATCTTTTTATGGTCTCTTACGGCGACCAAGGAATTGTAGATTTTCTCGTTGCTCGTTTTTCAGACAAAAAAAATGTCTCACTAAATTTTTTTGCTGGTGCTTGCCAGTACAAAGGTATTTTCCAAACAATAAAAATAAGAGAGACATTTATATACTTAGGTATTTATAATCTATATTGAATAAAAAGAATATTTCTATTTCTTCCCTTACACTTTAGTCCAAATCCGTAGTCGAGGAGTGACTCGGACTAGTTGTGTGGCTGTTTTCTAGATGGGGGGGGGGGGGGGGGTTTGCAATCCATATGATGTTGTATTGACGAGATCGGTTGGTGCTTACGTTGCAGGTTAAAGAGTGCGAACGCGTCAGAGGAAGAGACGCGGCGCGCCATCACAGAGCGCATCCAGGACGAGTTGTACCGCCTGCGGGAGTGCGCGCGCACGCTGCTCAAGCGCGCAGGGGACCCCATGGCCACCGACACGACGCCCCCCGCGCCCCCTGCCGCCCGCCACGCGCCCGCCGCGCCCTGCGCCAACGGCATCGACCACCGCCACGAGAAAGACAAAGACGTCTAGAATGAGCGGGACGCCTGCTGATCCAACTGTATGTGGCGCTGAGGCCGCCACTGCACACCTCGCCGCCGCCGACCCGCGCTCACTCGCCAACTATCTTTGTCATATTGATAAATAACAACAGCGGTCCGGTTCTGGTTGCACTTTTCGATCCACCGACACTCAATTGATGGAAGCTGCTACCGTGAATGCGAACGATAGCTAACTTGTATATATATATCATTGTACAGAAGTAAATATTATTTATATGTTTTGTCGTGGAATTCTTAGAGCGTACACAGTGATAATGAGGCGTGAACTGTACGCCGCGTTCGTATTGTACTGTCACATAGACAGAGGTAAGCAATTACAAGTCGTATTGTCAGACAAAATATTATAACCAATATTTTTGTAATATACGAATAAATAATTTTAATACATAGATAACGATATATTACATCTGCAGGTTTGTTTACATTACTTTACGTGGATCTACAGTTTTTTAACACAACACGAAGTGAGTAATTCAAGTTACATACGTGATAAACAAAATATTTAAAATAATTTTTATAAGCAGGCGACGCGTTTGATAAAAGTTTACATTGGTACCGTGTGCACGTAGCGTTGGCACACAACCGCAGCTATATAGTTACATAGATTTATGGGGATTCGGGATCGTCACATCTTAATATTAAAGGGAATTTTTAAAGAACTGCTACATTCACTATTTTAGGTATGTGATAATTATATCACTATTTAAATGTTGTTTCATACTATGTATAGGCTATGTAATAGCAAATTAATTTTTAACTTTATTGAAAATTGAATCCTTAATAAACGTCATAAACATGTTTCCAAAAAAGGTTTAAAAAAGAACATATAACACTGTAGTTACTTTTAAACTTTAACTGTTGTAGCGTCGCATCCGCAGCCGGTAAACTTTCTCTAAACGGTATCGTAATTGTACTGTGGCCGCTAATCTTTAGCTAACGTTGGTGTGACGCAGCGCAGACAAGACTAAGATACAAAGCAAACTGTGGATGCAGGCCACAGACTGCTTAAGACTTCACTGTAGTGTGCAGTCACAACGTATCAATAAGGCGCACGGCAATGCTGTGATGCTGTGTTAGCGTTACCTTTAGAGCCCATTAACGTCAACTGCTGAACACAGGCCTGCCTCATAGATTGCTTCTCAGGGAGGAAATCTGCCACAGTTGCCACGTGTGGGAACTTACTTATTGGGAAGATGCTGCCGCCCGTGTTCTAGTTTGTTTACCTCTGTCGCCTCCTGCGGTGCGCGCGGGGAGGTGCGGGGAGGTGCGGGCCGGTGCGTGTTGTTGGTGTGGCAGACAAAGCGTGGAAAGTAAAGTGAATGCTGCAGAAATGCGGTATTTAAGAACTATGTTAAATGTTTAAGGGTGACTCTAAATAATAGAATGAAACATTGAGTATAACAGTAAGAGAAGTGTGGTTTGCAAGATGTGACCAGTATTAAGAAAGGAATTTGAGATTTGTACTCTTAAAAAATGAATGAGAAAGGAGTAACAAATCAAATTTATGCTCAAAGGACGCTCTAAACGAAAGTTTATCGACCAAATTGGCGATATATTAAAGATGGACCAAATTAACAGTTAACAAACGAATGTATGTGCGTAGGTATATGAATGTGAAACAAACTAGAGAGTTACGTCAAAATCGTACCAAATGTATGTTCGTAGGCTCTGTTTTCTCCTGTGGGTAACAGGTGTGATACTTTATTGTTATTTTATTATGTTTTGTATTAATTAAAATCAGGCATGAGTTGGAATGCCCCACCAGCTTTACTTATACTGGCTCTCCTGCGCTTTGAACGGAATGGCAACAGTGGATTGTATGTAGATTTCCGCTTTTGCTAAATTAGTTTAAATGTAAAGTCACCAAGCTGACAAAACAAACTTGAAGTTTGAATAACGCGATTTAATTTCTTGTAATACTTGACATTATTAATGTTCCTGATATTCCATTAGATCGCTGCTAGTCGGTTTAAAGTGCTTGTATTAGGAGCGGTTCACTATAATCGAATTACGTATTCGAACTCATGATCTTTGAGTTCGCTGTCATTGACCTACTGTATGTTACTTGATATGTAACTTCAGTACACATAATGTAATTTTAATTTTGAAACTAGGCATCCTTCATATCGATCGAATACATTTTTACTTTGCTTTTGCAAACAAGGTCTTATATCATAAAACCCCTTTTCTTAGTATACGTACACGTTCCCACACAGCATCCTTTGCCTCGAAACCTTTGTCTTCCATAGATTTTGACCACCTATCAACTTGCATTTCGGAATACTTTATTACCAGTTTCTCATATTATCTGTTTCTTTATCTGTTTCTATTTTATTTTGTTTTTCATCAAACAGAACCTTTTGACTGTCGATTTAATTATGTCTATAAATCTTACAGATTATTTAAAACAAACTTTCCTGCTGACTGTATTCAGTTGGGTATCGATCGAACTTGCTTTCCGTTAGGAATGTACAAGCTCAGATCGCCGTCCGTATTCATTGCATCTGAATATTGCACTCGGTAATAAGTAACAGCAATTATTATACATTATTTCGTTTCAAATATATCATGAATTTATCTTGTATAATTGGCCACTAGTACTTCATTTGTTGATATTTTAGACATTATGCGATAAGAAAAAAGTGATTTACAACATGTTGTGACTAGGATTAATAAAGGAATGTTCCGGTGTTAGTGAAAAAGTTGGCAGGGAATATCTTAGATAAAAGCCAATCGACAAAATGGGCGATATATTGAGGATGGGCCAAGTTTAGAGTACCTTTAACCGACAAGCATGTATACGTATATATGTGAAGCTAGAAAAGCGATTATAGGATCGTATAGATCAAATAGAAGTCCGCAGTCTCTGCCTACCCCTCTCGGTGACAGGCGTAATCATTTGCTTATTTTATATATAGAAAAGAGTCAACTCAGTTAGAGCTTTTATATATTGTTGAATTAAGATACACGCAAATTGTTGTCATAGGTCGATATTTCGTTTATTAAATCGATATATTAAAGTCGTTTTAAAGTGTATACAATCTGATTTCACTGTTACATGTACATATAAGAAATCTCTGTGTGTATGTCTATGCGTGTACGATCATTAATTTTGTTTTAGTTTTGCATATTTTGAGAAATAAACAAATATTGATATCGTCTTTGTGTAATTAAGTTTTTATTAATATCGATTTTGTAGTTTTTGTAAAAAAATCGAACTTACTTCAAAATTAATGACTTAATATTTATCATTAATGATTTAGTAGTCATTAATGTTGAAGTTGATGGTGATGGTAGATCAAATTTTACACATATACATACAGAACCGCGATATTTTTAACAAAAAATATTGCGGTTCTGGAATATCGTCATGTTTATTCGGTGAGGGTTTGCGGGCAAACTGAGTCGCTGTTACCGTAGCGATCACTTAAAAGTAGCTTTTATTATAATTGCATAAGGTGTGATGTCGCTTGGTCGGAGTGATCCACGTGTTCGCGTCTGTATGTTTAGGTTTGATGTTGTGACGTGAATGTGTCGTAGTTGCATAGTGAAATGATTTCTTGTGTCAATTTACACCTAGGCTTAATCGATGTCCTGGGATCTAAAGGTGTTTCTATTCTTATAATTCTGAAACGCTGTGCGTGTTCCCGTCTCGCACCTTCGTGCATGAACATGCTACAGAGGTTCTCAGTCCTGTAACGCTTGTGGCAGACACCCTGTCCTGGTTAAGTTGGCAGCAGATGAGCTTCTCAAAGTACCCTGTCCCCGTCATGATTTTTATATGAATATTTTTACAGGAGTTTAGGTTAGACAACATAAATCAACTGCACTCTGTTCTAACGAAGTAACCGTCGGTGGGGAAAGAGGGGGATACTCAGAGCATATGACATCAGTTATTTTTGTAAAACTGAATTGACATATCAGAGACTTGCTACTATAAAAGACCACAGAATAAAATTAAAATTTATTATCAACTAAACATGAATTTATCATTCGGTGAACACGAAACGTCCCATTCCCCTCCCCCATTGCTGACGTATAAAAATTTAGACCCCTAATTAAAAATTAAACGCATCATATCATCAATCACTCCGAAGTTAAATAATGTTTATAGGTTTATATGTTATTTTTTGGCGGTAATAGTTTTAAAATACATATAATATTCCACAAAGCTAGAATCTATGCAGCAAAATCAAGTGAATTTTTTTATTGTTTTATTGAACTTTTCTAGTGAATTCAGTCGTTTAGTTTATTATACTATATTATGATAATTTTTATATTCAATTTGTGCAATAAAAAGTAAACGGTCACATGACTAGTTCACAGTATCATTCATAAATCACTACATCGTTTTATAACCGAAATGTGCTGCTTCCAGTAATGGTCAAAATGTGATCGAATTTTCCATTTTCAGTAAAGTTACATTTTTGTTATTAAGGATACAAAATTGACAGCTGTACTTATACGGTTGATTGTAAATTTTAAATATTAATTATCTCTATATCTGTCTCTTTCTATTATAATTAAGTGAAAAGAGAGAGAGAGCGAGAGTGATTTTTAAGCAATTTGAGTGTATTTTTGATTTTTATGAGTAAAGCCGTATATGTCTATTTGATGACAAAAAAATGTCAATTGATTCGAGTGTCAACTACTCCAATAATTTCGGAAATATTTTTTTATTTAAAATTTGTATTATGTGATATTGGGATGATAATGCATATGACACTATTATCCAGAACCCACAAGTGGGATCGGCAAAGAAAGGCAGAACACTACGTATATACCCAGTGACGCCGAAACCATGCTCAACTTATTGTAACAACACGCACCCACACTGACATGTGTTGCACATTGGTTGTGAGTCCGTGTATGACATGGTGTTGCTGTGAGCTTCTACGGGCTGGTGGAGAATGAGAGAAGAAAGATGTGTGCAGTGCGCCAGACAGTGCCTGTGTTTCTTTGTTGGTCTGG